TCGACGAACAGTCTGATTGATATTCTGGTATTTGACGAATATTTTAGAATTTGTGATATAGCCAGTAATTTCTGGTTTTCACTCATTTTTGATGTAATTATTAACACATCATTTGCCATACATACATCGTCTATGATGACTACCTTCACTATACAGCTCATTACTGAAAGCAAGCAAGTATTTTCATTATTCACCTAATGCATTGATTCTCAACCTATTTTCTTTCGTTGTCCATTTTTGTTGCCCAAAAATACTTGTGGCCCATCAACTTTTTATTACAAGGCGAGAACTACAAGAAAAATCAGGATCTTTCTACGAAAATGAACACTCAAACGTTTATCATTAAAATGAGAATTACCTCTCGGTAGCAGAAAACAGCATCCTCATTGATTGTTGCTACAATCAAAATTAACTATTGTGACATAAAATTTATAGCTGTCTCGCTCGATGTGATTTTTGTACATTACCGAAAATATTAATAAATATTGATTCGATCATTTGTGAGTTTGTTATTATTTCATCAATTTATGAGTCCCACTAGAAAAAGAAATAGAAAAATAAAATGGAATATTAAACCGTAAAATAGAATATTACTCATGCGTAAGAAAAATGACCATGCCTAGAGAGAAGTAGTACTTAAGTGCTTTGCTTTGCCCACATTAGGCGGAGAAAAACCAACTGCGCTGGGAGGATCATAAATATGACTTGGCATAATTATCCTTTACAAAGTTCAAATAAAACGTTATTAAGAAAAATTCTGCCAAAGTTTTTAAAATGTGACTCAGCATAATTTGCAAAGATAGAAAGCAAAACTCGGGTAGAAGTCTCTAAACAAGTTGTTCCCGAATTTTTATGGCTCGTTCTCTACTTCCGGAGACATTTAGCACTCGTGACCCTTGTTTATTATTCCAGTGGTATTTCGATTGGTAGATTTAAATCCGATGATGTTCAAACAATTCATGTTCAACAAAGTGAAAACATCCTGTGAAACTACGTTATCAAGCAATGGAACTAGGAAAAACATGAAGTCTTTTTGTCGAGGGAAAAGTAAAATCAGTTTTGCGCCTAGCATTGTGGTCCACTCCACCTGCTCTGTGACCTCTTTGGGAGGCCAAGAACCGCCGGTAGGGACTCGCTGATTTAATAATTCCAGAAGAAGAAAATGTTAAAGTCAGAAAAGAGTCGAAAAGAATGCGAAAAGAGCATAGAGAGGTAATGAAGCGAATGCAAATATAAAAGACGAAAATAGAAATTGAGATCGGAAAGCTTAAAACTGAAGTAAAGGTTTTCTGGATTTCTTAATTGTTATTGGTAATTGCGGGCTGTCGTGACTGCGTTTTGATAATAAGAAAGTGAATCCACAATCAAACTTCATGGATTGAAAAGTGACAATGTAAAATATTAAAAAATAAAACAGAGGAAAACACCATAGGTTTTGTTTTAGGAAGCACGCGACAGATCAAAAATGCTTTAATTGTGTAAATCGCAAAATTGACGGCACACGTTATGTTGGGTTGCCTTTTATCGTTTGTCGGGAAATATGAATTTCCCAAAAACATGAAGATCCTGGAATTTTTCCAATGACGATATTTTAAAAATAATCATAAGTGCCAAATGAATAGTGACAAATTCCAAGGTCGCAAAAATCTGAATCCAATTTATTTATAATCTGGTCAATAGTTTATCGCGTATTTCATGTCCGTAGGTTACCGTAAGTTTTTAGAGTAGTAGTGCTTTTATTTTACCTTAGTCGACACAATGAACATAATCAAAATAATATGGGAAGACATTTTAAATGCCCGTATCAGCCACAGATTGAATATTTTGCGCATCAGAAAAATCATAATCCACTGAAAAAGTCTATTTTAAAGAGTGTCGCAATCGCAATTTCAAAGGAAGCTTCCACTTCATCTGCAGAAGGTGACTGACAAAATGAATTTATACTACAACTCCTCATTCTTTTCAAAGAATCCTTTTTGCTTTGAAAAAAAGCTAAAGGCTTTTCCTGATGGGCAGGGTGCTTTGTTATAAGATGGCGCTGTAAGCGAGTTGGTCTCATAGCGTCATTGCTCAGATTTTCAAAGCACAAAATGCATTGCGGTACAACCTCGCCCTTCGCTGTCGTACATATAAAGCCATACCTAAGATACTCGTTATTATACTTTCTCTTTTTTTCCGCTCATTTTGCAATACCACTAAATTTTAACAAAATCTAAACTAAACGCAATAAATGATTACGTAACAAACATAAAATCTCATTAAATGTGAGTAAAATAGATTTTTGATTTTTTTAGTACATTTTACTCATAAAGTTTGTTGACCACCGTTCTTTTGTATTTCAACTTGTGACGATCAAAAATCGTTGTCCAAAGTAGTAAGCAAGTTTCTGATGGTATTTTATTTTGTTTTTAAACCTTCAGACTTGCATATATTTTTCATGGAATCATAGTGTTCCCTCCTTATAAATCTAATTATTTTTGTATAGTCTTCCATGGTTTGCAAATATTACCCCTAATTACTCAATCAATAAGTCTAGGTAATGTAAAAAATTTGCTTTATTGTCTGTAAACTTTAATTCTGTGTAGGATTATAAATTGTTTATTTAAAGAAATATTTTCAATGGGGGAGTTTTTTTACTGTGTAGGATTTCGTTGAAAACTCCAGAATTATTACCGGTAGTTCCTTGTTTTCTGCTTGATTCACAACAGCTGTAAGAGTGCTGGGAAAGGGACCCTACTAAAAAGGTAGGTATCACAGGTACCGGTATCATAGGTATCACTCCATAAAAAGATAGGTATCAGTAATAAATGACTAAAAAGGTAGGTATCAGTAGTAGATGACTAAAAAGGTAGGTATCAGTTGTAAATAACTAAAAAGGTAGGTATCAGTAGTAAATGACTAAAAAGGGGGCTCCCGAAGTATGCGAACCAAGATGGCGGACATCGGAATGTAATATGTGTACCGTACTAGGTTAGGGTTAGGCTATAATTTTAGGTATAAATACTACGGGAGGCGCTTGGCTAGTCTTCGAACTGATAATAGGACTAAAATAAGGAAAATTGGAAAAAAATTATCGCCCAACCCTAACCCTGTAACCTGTTACCGATACCTACCTTTTCAGTCATCTACTACTGATACCGGTACCTACCTTTTTAGTCATTTACTACTGATACCTACCTTTTTAGTCATTTACTACTGATACCTACCTTTTTAGTCATTTACTACTGATACCTACCTTTTTATTTATTAACTACTGATACCTACCTTTTTAGTCATTTACTACTGATACCTACCTTTTTAGTGAGTGATACCTATGATACCTGTGATACCTATGATACCTACCTTTTTAGTAGGGCCCCTGGGAAAGTGGGTAGTTGTAAGTGGTTATAAATCTCTTTTACCTATTTTCTGTTTTACTTACATTTTTCCTGAACTGGTGTATTTATATTACTATATTTGTTTTTATTATAAATAACCTTGATAAGCTGGATTATAAATCATATGGCGAACCATGTCCAGTTATTTCGTCACCAGTCTGTCACTGTCAGTACAGCTGTACAGTCACGGTTAATCCAACTTTGGTATGGGAATACTGGCATTGTTTATTGAACTAATTGATTGCTTAAAATGTGTGGATTGATTAGTAGAACAAGCTGTACAGATCAGCAATTACAGAATTATGAGATCTACCCTGTAATAGCAGAAAGACTATCAGTTCTCTTGCATATACTAGGAATGGTACAAAACCGAAAAATGTTTGCATCATGTATGGTACAGTTAGACCGTGTCCGAATACCGCTGAAAAAACGGATTTCCTGCAGTATTACATTTTAACATAGATAAAATACTTCGATAAAGTACATGACTATGACCTGGTAGACTATTTGATTTTTTTCATTACCAAAATAATGCAAGCCAGCCCCTCATGACCAAGTAAAAATTGTTTACAAATTTGATTGATGCATATGCATGAACTAACATAGAAAACTGTTGCCAGCCGAACTTTGTTGCACATTTTTAAATTGAAAAGCAGATATTGTTATTATGAAGAAATTATGAAAATATCAGAAAATTAGTGAACAACAGGATATTTAAAAAGTCCAAGATTGTGCTCAGTAAATCAATTTGTATGACAAATTCAACATCCATATTATTCTTCAGATTCAGTATATTAATATATTGGCAGCGTTGCGGTGTGTCTCATCATGCTAAGTGTTAGGAATATGTTCTGATTACTCTGCGTGGGTTTGCAGGTTTGAATCCCATGTGGAGATAGTTATGTGCAAGAGGATTGCTGGACTCCTCGCTGCTGTGGGATGGTTCTTGTAACCGCTGGTTGGTTACGGCTTTCTCCACCATCAAGTCCCTGCTTCCGAAAACAAATAACTAGCTAATCCCATACCCGACGTGGAATGGTAACCAGATGAGAGGCTGTGGTTCGCCCTATGGTTAAGTCGTCCTATCGGCTTTCCTCTTCCCGGGATCAATGTGTAAATCCTATCCTATAGCTTGGTATGAACAAGCAAACTGAAGAAACGATGATATCAATTTGTGAGCAACTACAAAAAAAATGCCACTTCTGCAACACAGAATTTTCTAGGAAATATGAGCAACGGTCTAATTCCAGTTTTGTATTAAGTAACTGGAGTCGATAGATACCGTAAGTAGATAGATAGATAGCTTTCCATTGGTAGTAGGTATATCTTATTAATATCAAATATTTTGTGGGCAGTTGAGCGGGATTTATATAACACCTGGGTTGTGTTATCACTCTCAAAGTGTTGACAATTTTCATTGAAATCTGCTATATTGTTGCTGCTAGAACACGGGTAAAAATTCACACACTATCAAAATACAATTGACTGCATTTTGCTTCAGTTATATTGCTCTGAGACAGTGGTTCCCAATTTTCTATGGCTCAGTTCCGGAGGTTTTTAGCACTAATGGCCCCTCTGTTTATCATTTCAGGGGTATTTATAGTGTTATTATTATTGGTAGATTTCAAATCCCATTATGCTTAAACAATTCATGCTCAACAATGTGGAACACCTTGTGAAATACCCATATGAGGCAATGAAACTAGTAAGAATGGGGAGTTTTCCTGTGAAGGCAAATGGGAAATCAATTCTGCGCCCTCATCCGATCGCTCTGTATCCCCCGGTTTGGAGCCGCTTGACTAAATACTTTGGTCGTGGTTAGATTATTTTTGATTCCAGGATACAATGAATGGCAAGGTTGGCATTAAGAAAACCAATTATCCTAAATTAAAATGAGTGACAGAACCTAGTTTTAATTGAACATGGTGCTGCTGCTTGGATTTGTTGACTAATAGCGTAAAACTGATTTGATATAAAGTATTACCTGTAGCAGAACACGTAAACAGCTTTTAAAGTGTACCGATTTGTGCATGTAATTACAGCATCAGGAAATTATCATATGCACTGGAAGTCTTAGCAGAGTATGTTATGTATATCTCATTGTGATTTTTGATTTGATAAATTATTTAGTACTATATCGTCACATATAAGCCTAGTTTAAAACTAGAGAAAAGTTGCCAAAATAGTGGGTTGGCATATATGTGCATATTTCTGATTTTTAGGGACTTGGGGAATATCATTGTGAGTATTTGCTTAGTTTCGTCCGGTGAATATTATCAGTATTTGCTTAGTTTCGTCTGGTGGAGAACCTCTAAAATTCAACTTCATAAGAATTCTATTTCAGTCCACATCTTGAGGAAAAATATGAGAAAATTAGTGGTTGCTACATTTTTCCAGTTTGACATAGCCTTTCCCATTTACACTTTGGAAGTTGTAGCCACATTGTGGTATATAAGCCAGAGTTATATTACAGGGTGACCTATGTAAGTAGTCTTAGTTTTAAAAACATATATTGATTCTATGCCAGGGTTGATTTTGTATAGTACCGGTATTAAGAAATTAGTGGTTGCCATATTTCCTATGTATAGCCTTCCCAAACAATAATTTGGGAGTTGAAGCCACATAAGGCTTTATAAGCCTGAGTTTGACAATTTGCCTTTTTCAAGGTTTTCATGCATGTTTTACATATGTATATGTGGCATAATATTTTTATTTCTAATTCTATTATATAGGTGGAAAATATGCTTTTATCAATTACACAGAAAAAAACAATAAAACATTTGAAAAAAAGAAATGGTCGAAATGCTTTGTGCAATCCCTGGCTTTTCTGAAGGCAGCAAGAATTACTGATTTGTTTTTCAGTCTAATTTTCTCATTCTGCTGTGCTGCTTGGAGTCTCTTTTTTTGTATCGGTTTTGTTTTTTCTACATTTATTTTTTCAATTACATATATTTGTTCGACGTCTTTCTATTCTACATGTATCAAAGTTAGACTTTTACCATGGGTGTCGCTGCTCGATAACCAACATTATTTTTTTCGCGTCACCCTTCACTATAAAATGCCTTTTTCATGTTTTTTTCCTTGTTTTTATAATACACATTGTCCCACTACAGCATATGCGGATTACTGCTTGATCTAATTAAATCTTATTTAACAAAGCGTCAACAATTCAATTAATCAAATGGTCATAAATCTTATTATTAATATGCATCTTGTGGGTAGCACTCTTGGCCCCCTAGTGTTTTTAGGCTACCTCATTGACCTTCCTACTTCCACCGCATTTGATACCACACTATTCGCTGATGATACAGCTCTGCTCGACTGCCCCAAGTATTGTAGATCTTCAACACTCTATGAATAACTTGAAAATAAAGCAAATTGAACACTGGTTAAAACTAAATAAATTGTCGCTTAACTATTCAAAAACAAATTTCATGGCTTGTGGGTCTATGAAAAAAATAAGGTACGAAAACTTCAAATTAGAAGTTGGCACGATTAGTAAGTACTATAAAATATTTGAGAATTGTCCTGGGTGAAAAACTTATGGAAAATCACATATATTACCTTCCAAAAAAAAAACTTTCCCGATCACTTGGAATGCTATATAAATCAATGAGGTTTGTTAATCTTAAACTCCTAAAATAGTTTATAATAGCCTGGCCTTTTCACATTTTTGATATGGTGTATTAAGTGACATAAACTGCTTTAAAACCTCTTGTTGTTTTATTTTTTATTAACTTATTACCACAATAATTTGTTGTTGTATGTGAGCTGAACTAGTAAAGTTGAAGCTAACTTCTAATAGATAAACGCGCTTTTTATGCATTTTATCCTTGATAAAAAAACAAACTAATATTTTCAGATCTTAGTTTAACGCTTAAATTGTAAGAGCCTGTTAGTGTATGAAGATGAATTCAAAAGTAATGAACCAGGTTAGAGCAAAACAGTCAGATCGTCTCATGACATCATATGACAGGTTTAAAGAGAAAGGGTTTCTTTGCGATTTCAACATCAACGTCGGTGAAAAATCATTCCGAGTGCATCGTACTGTCTTGGCAGCCTCTTCAGAATACTTTGAATCCATGTTTTCAAGTAACTTGAAAGAAGTTCATGACGGTCACATTAATATGAAGGATGTCGATCTGGATGGGATCGCACAATGTGTAGAGTTCATGTATAAAGGAAAGGCAGATTTGAAAATAGAAAACATTCAGCATATCCTGCATGCTTCCAATCTTTTACAAATGGTGGAATTAACGAATCTTTGTTTTCAATTCTTGGAAATTAACATTTCTCCAATAAATTGTCTCTCTGTAATCAACTTGGCCCAAATGTATGACCGTCGTGATATAAAACAACAAGCCGTACAGGTCGTGATTGATAATTTCGAATCTGTTATTTCTTCCGAGATGTTTCCATTCATCACCAAATCAGATCTCTTGCTTTACATAAGTAACCAGACTTACCAAACATTATGGAAAGCTGTGGTAACATGGGCAAAAGGAAAAGATAAAATAGATGTTTCTGAACTCTTTAAGATTGAGCAATTTCCCTTCAAATTTCTTCTGGAAACTGTCCTCAAAGAACCCATTGTTAAGAACAATAAAACAGCTGAGAAATCCGTAATCACTGCATTGTTTTCTGACGTCAAAAAACTTGAGACAAACCTTGATATTGACAACTGCTTTATCTTGAAGAATCTCTCTGAAACCAATCAAACTCCTATACAAGCGACAGTAAAAGATTCCATTATTCTATTCTTGGAGACAAATTTTGAACAAATTAGCAAGAAAAAGGAATTTCTTGATATCAGCAAGGATGACATACTGAGACTTTTCAAATCTTCAGAAACAAAGTATTCTTCTGAGGCTGTCAAATATGAGGGGATGATGAAATGGGTGAAACATGATGTCAAAAACAGAAGAAAAATCTTCCAAGATCTATTTAGCTTGCTGAAACTTGGAGATTTATCTCTCGAATTCCTAAAAGAGACAGTTCGAATTGAACCCTTAGTGAAAAAATCAGATAAATGCAATGATTTGCTTATCGATGAAATATTTTCACGAGCATCTTTAAAAGCTGAAGAAAAGCCGAAGGCAGAGCAACCTTTGGCTCTACCAGTTTCAAAGGATGATGAGGAAGGATCTTCTGTCATTGGAGGGGCATCTGGTTATGGCACTGCCAGTTCCAGACCAGCTAATGGTAATAAAAATAAAGATTTATCATAAAGGTTTATTATACTATAAATACTGAAAAACAAAGATGACGTACTTTCCCTGTCATTTTTTATGAAACAGCGGTCTTACAATGTGAATCTGGAATATCTTTCATAAAACTCTCATTTGGCTAACAATTGGCCCAGAGTATACGCAACAGTGGATAATTAATCGAAAAATATGGAAATATTGTATTATACTTTGTAAATATTATACTTTAAATACTGAAAAACAAAGATGACGTACTTTCCCTGTCATTTTTTATGAAACAGCGGTCTTACAATGTAAATCTGGAATATCTTTTATAAAACTCTCATTTGGCTAACAATTGGCCCAGAGTATACGCAAATATGGAAATATTGGAAAACTTTTTGTATTGAATGGCATTAGGAGGTGCAAACGAAACTGAATTTCAAGCCCTGGCTTTCCAATAGTCAGTCGCATGTATGAATACATTATAAATTCTATAAAATAATTCGAAATAAGTGGATTCTGTAATATTTTTAGTAGTAGTCTTTGACCCAGGCCTTTGGTATTGGATAAACACTTGACCTGGCACATTTGAAGTTACCCATGTCAGTAGTGTTTTTTTACTTCATAACCTCAGACATTTGACACATTAAATATTTTTATAAAACATTAATTTACAAACAAGGTCATATACTTGCAGCCACTGATATGTTTTGTTATGTAAAACGGCACTTTATTTTAAAGAACCAGATTTTCCCTCGTAAGGCATTGCCTACCCAATCTTTTACACACTTTGACATGACACAGGGTTTGAACCTGTGATGTGTAATCTGTCATGTCATCCTACAGTTAAATCTAGCTCTTTAACCACTAGACCAATGGTTGGAAACTTTTTGAGCCGCGCCCCCAAATAGGGATGAGCAATATAGAATAATTCACTATTCTAGAATATTCTAGAACGTACGTATTCTAGAATAGTTAAATCGAATCCAGAATACCGAATCCTATTCTATTTTCATACTTATTCAAATAGTGGGAATTTCCACATTGCTGGATTGTAATGTATTACCGGTACTATAAATGTATTATTTATTTGGAAATGTCCTGGACATTGGATTTTATTTGATACTAAACAGGCATATCCCAGGGCAATAAAATTTAGGAATATTACAATATATTTTGCCTTCAATTGTTCCAAATGTATGTAATCCCTAAATACTGATATGCTAGATTAAGACACGCTTTACTCACTTTATTTGTAAACTGTTAAATACAAAAATAGATATGAACGACGTTAAATCATTTTTAATATTATTAATGTTAGTCTGCCGAGCGTACTAGAACTGACCCGCTGAGAATTAATTAGATGCACGACCAGCGTGTGGCCACTGCAACCTATGCGGCCATTTTAAAATATTAAATTTAACCACTATCAATTGATATCAACTTTTTATTCTGTGCGAGCAAGACTCGTAAAACCAAGTTCCCGTAAACTCGATTTCGTACTTAGGTATTAGGTAATAACATTTGAAAAAAAATTCGTTTTCTATGATTATCGTTACATATCATTATCTACCCAGACTTGGCCCTACTCAAACTCAATACGTCACTATTTTCGCCAGATGCGGCAACTTTTTTTTAATTTATCGGTGACTTAAATACTACAGACACTCGATCAAACGTGCGTCTTTCTTGAACGATAAAAACGGACCGAAAAATATGTAATCTTTTGAGAGGGAAATTTAAATGTGCGTTTCGCGTTTTGTGATATAACTTTGTATTTCGGATAATGGTAAAACAAAATTATTCGTAAATAATATTTGATCTAAATTAATCGCAGGTAACATTTAACACCTTGCTTCTGGTTTACAAGATTTACATGCATCACTTTTTGGGACTCTCGCAGGTCGCGGAAATCATTTAATGTAAATTGAAGCAAGGCACGTCTGTAAAGATCGTTGCAGTCAGTTTATCGGAATGTTACGAGTCGGCACAAATAATTATTATTATACGCTAACTAAATAGTAAAGCGGAATAGCAAAAATGGTGCAACAACTACTCTTCGCCGTGATGTGTGCATCGCCGGGTGAGACTACCGTTATTTGGTGTTTACCGATTTTGCGGGTTCTTTACGAGACGCAAGTATAATTAAACGAGAGAGATTTCCACGCAAGAGAAAACGCTCGTCTTTGATTAATAAATTAGAAACAGGAAATACAAAATTGACGCATGGCGCATTGGCGCCGAAGAGACGGAAACTGAATCCTGTCATCGGATCCTTGTGGATTCGAATACTTTGGGATTCGAATCCTCCGGATTCGGTATTCTATATTGCCCATCCCTACCCCCAAATCTTACAAACTTTGCGCTCCCCTTTTGCTTTGATAAAAGTCAAATGCTTTTGTAATTGGCAGGTTACTTTGTTTAATGTTGGCGCTGTAAGCGAGTTGGTCTTGAGATAATCGTCATCACTCACCATACATTCTCCTTTTCTGGTCATTTTGCGATACTTCGTAAATACAAGCTGAATTTTATTTAAGACTGAACGCAATAAATATATGTTTTATGCGCTTTAATGTATTTTCTCAAACTGGCTCACATCAGCAAAACTATTATTTTTATTCAAAACATCAAACTGTGTGCCGCCTACAGGTGGTAAATAGCTAATTTTAGGCGAGTCTATCGCAGCGTTTGTTGTACCATTTTATTATTGCATGTTATTTGATTTACTTACTTACAACTAATTTTTGGAACACGACGAAAAACGGCCAAATAACACGCTAAACCACGAAAACAAGGTAATGTTTACAACCATGCACGAATGTCTTTCGAGTGACCACACTGATTGCATTGCGACTTAATGCTGATTTCAAATCCAGGAATATTTCTTCAATCAAAAATTTGGATAATTGGTTGAACATTGTATATTCTCCATAGTAGCAAATTTTGAACTCAATCAAAAACAACAAAGTTTATTGCAAGAGTTTTATATAAAATTATTATTTAGTAAAGTCTAGATTTCATATTTTCCCCAAAGCCTAGCTTAAGTCATACCTGACATATTGTGGTAATACCCAAGATGTTTACTTTATATGAATGATATTCGGGAACATTTTGGTTTGATTAATCAATTGATTTTGCTCTGTAGTTTTTATTAGCGCGGCGGTGTGGCTCATCGTGCTAAGCGTTAGGAATACGCTCGCCACTGCCAATCATGAGTGCCAAATGAATAGTGGCAAATTCCAAGGTCACAAAAATTTGAATCCAATTTATTTATAATCCGGTCAATAGTTTATCGTGTATTTCATGTCCGTAGATTACCGTAGTATTTTAGAGTAGTAGTGCTTTATTTTACCTTAGTCGACAAAATGAACATAATCAAATTAATATGGCAAGACACTTTAAATGGCTGTATCAGCCACAGATTTTTTGCTCAAAATCATAATCCACTGAAAAAGTCTATTTTAAAGAGTGTCGCAATCGCAGCACTTGTTTTAGAGCAGTGATCGGTAACCACCGAGCCGCGGCCTATTGCCGGTCCGCAGAAGGGTGACACAAAAACGGACAAGGCTCAAATAACACCTCATTAATCTAACAACCACAACTAAGAAAATATCACCCAATAGCAAGGTAGACAAATACAACGCATCTGAGCAGCATGTCTGACTCCATAAATTATTTTTACGTCAATATGTCGCAATAATGCTGCATCAATTTTGCCTCTGAATGAGAAAGTTGTACATCAGTCTAAATAAGATGTCTTAAACAAAATGATTCTCGCTAACAACGTGACTGTTGAATTTGTAACCGTACGTGACAGCAACGAAATTTGTCCAGTTTGCGACCTTTGTTATACTAAGCTCTCAAATGAGGCAATGAATCCTTGGAAACTTCTATGCACGATGGAATGGTCTTGTCAACACCGAAATAAGAAACATGTTACGTGTATCACTATCGAACATATCTTCCAATTAAGAACAGTTAATGGGCAGTAAACAAATGCAGATCTTGGTTAAATAGCATCACCTTTGTTTTCGAATATATTTTCAAATATTCCAAATGATTTTCCAACTCGTAATATGCTTATAACTGTATCTAAGTTCGTTTGTATAAATATGGTCCGCCAAAATATTGGTCAGGCTTTACCGGTCCGTCACTTAAAAAAGGTTGCCGACCACTGTTTTAGAGTCGTTGCATGGGAATTTTTTATCCCGATTTTTTGGAACCCCCCTTTTTAAAAGTTCTGGATACGTCCACGTAGAAGCTGCTGTGCTGATTTGTGCCAGATGAAACACTTCTGAAGGCCGGATCCGGCCTACGGGCTTGACATCCAAGAAACCGATATCCCATACATTTGCACCCGTATATCTGCGGGTTCAGTCTACATGCGGATGCTAAAATCCATTGGTTAGGGTTATTATGGGTTCAAATATCCGTAGGTGCAATAGTATGCAGGTGGAAATGTATACGGGTTTAAATGTACATGGGTTCAAATGTATTGGAACCGTAATTAGCAATAAATCATTACGTCCATCTAAACTTCAAAACCACCGTGACAAAAATCATCCCCAGGTGAAAGAGGTTGATATCGGTTTCTTGGATGTCAAGCGAGTTAAATTGACAAGACATTGTCCAAGTCCGGTTTTATCAGAGGAAAAGCCCGCTCTTGAAAGCACGAGTACAAAAAGGCGCCGGAAGGGGGCCACGTCATGTGGTGATATTGAGTAAAATAAGCTAAAACCAAACAGTGATGTCACAATAAGCACCTACATTTTTTTATAGCATAAGCATAGAGCGATGCATACGGGCCTGTTTTACTGTAAGCCATGGTACAAACTGCTAAATTTAACATGGTTTGTCAAATCTTAGATGTTTCGTACATCCTCTACCATACCTCAGCGACCCCGCCGATCCCATGACCTGTTTGCGATCCTACCTACTTATCACTCCGACCTCATTTGAGGTCGCGACCCCTGGTTTGGGGAACCCTGCACTAGACCATGGTATTGCCCAAAAACTAAATAATCACACAATAGCTTGATTACATCTAGGTACCATAATTTTCATTCTTTTAATTCATAATTATTTTATATATCATGGCACCTTTTAAATATCATTGAACCCCTCAATCACAAGCATTATTGCTTAAATAAGAACAAACATTATTTTAATCATTTAGTTTTGGTTTTATTTATCCAGGTGCAGAATCTCAGTCTCCAAGTCAAACTACTTCTGATCTAAGAGTCATCAACCAACAACCATCTGATGGGAAGTGGTCATGGGATTGGTTGCAAAAATCACTGCCAGGATATGAAGGAGATTGGACTCATGTCATCACCTACTCATTTCCTGCTGGAAGTCTGAAGGTGAGTTATGAAACAAATTTATTTGTCGGTTGAGAAATAAATTATAGATTTATTGGAATCAAGATTCCCATTCAAGAAGGTTGTTGTTCTTAATATTAATCCCCATTGCACATTAGTAATTGTATTGTGAATTTCTTGAATTTCATTTCTTGATTCAGTAAGGGGTCACAAATATATATCGTATTGTCAATTAGAAAGCAAAATCATTATATTATATAGGTCAAAATTTACTAAATACAACGTGATGTGAACAAAAACGTGGATGGAAAATAGAAAATTTTCTGTCATACCCTTTGATTTCATTAATGCTCCAAATATGGTGATTTTGATATATTGGCAAAGACATCCCTTATAATAGTACTTTCATGTTACTTTTTTATGCGATGCTTATTCATGCCTTTTGCTCGGAACAAGGCCCTATACAAGCAGCCACAAATATTTAGTAGGGTGGTTCACGTAACCACTGGTCTGTTACAGCCTCCTCCACCATCAAGTCCAGGCTTCCGAAAACGAATAACTGGCTAAACAATCCCTTACGTGTTATAGACTGGTAACCGGATGAGAGGCTGTGATTCGCCACTTGATTAAGCCGTCCTATCAGCTTTTCTCTCCCCAGGATAAATATGTTAATTCTGTCATATCTTATATTTAATGAAATTTAAGCTATCAGACACTGATATCTAATGATATTTAAGGAGATATATTATTATTTCGAATTTTCTGGTTCTGCATTTCCTATCCAATTTATTTCATCCTGGGTGAGGTGGTTGTCATGGGGATTTGAACCGAGATGTTCAATATGTGATGTCAGCTTAGTTCAGTCCAACACTTCAACCATTAGGCCAACGGTTTCAAATATTTTTGTTTGTGCAGCTCTGAATTATTAGGGAAAAAACTGCTGACGACGCAATGGAAAAAATTTGAATTAAATTTAATATTGTGATCATTAATGTGTACTTTATGTTTGTAAACATATACGCCTAATGTCAACTTTTCTCTGCCTGATTTTATTTTGAAACTCTAAACAAACTCTGTTCAACAGATAAATAAACTGCAGCTTGGGAAATTGCAGCATGCAGTGCCTATCTCTATTGTTACGTAACACTAGTGCACCGCGGTACACCCTTTGGTAACCACTGCGTTAGGCCGTTGCACAGTCCAGAAGCTTGAAAGAAGTATTGCTAAATGTTTGCATTAACTCACATGAGTTATTGCTTCCGATAGAAATATACAGAATCAGGCAGCATGTTGTATAATGCTTATATGGCAGTGGTTCTTAAACTTTTTCGAGCGCGACCCAAATCTGAGTTTTATGAAGACTCGCGACCCAATCCTAAATAACGCAAAATGTGTTTTTAATGTTAGTACAGTTTGACTCAAATACAGACAACTATTTATTAGAAACAGTCCATGGACTCAGTGAGATTGATGAAACTGAAATTTCCTTTTCATTATATCTCCAATACACAGCTCTAGTTTACTTAACGCAATACGCAAGTTGTCACGGGTATCGAGGCGATTGCGAGCTTAGTTTTGATAACCGTCAGTGCCAAATATCCTCGCTCGCACAAGCGCCTTGTCGCGAATTGTAGCAGAAAAGGCGTCCGCTGTCCGTCGCAAACACGACATCATAGCTGGCCTTCGGTATCTCTCGCAATATACAACTTTTTACTCATCAAATGCGCACACACTGCTTCGTTCGCGGTAAATGGTGCCTCGAGATGAAGTCACATTTTCTATAGATATTGAATAATCTAATGTCGAGAAGCGAGCTTTTTCATTGCGTCGTCTATTACAATTTACATTACCAAAAAGACACCCATTTTTGATTATTTTAATCCACTAAGACGACATTCCACGCTGTCAACACAACGACAAGCGACGTGCATGGTTACCGATACCATAAAAATAATACACGTGATTGGCATATCAGAATTGTGATGTAACAATGAGCTCAAGACAGTTCTTTCCATGAATGAAATTTTATATTTCATTATTTTTAAATACCAGAGTTTAGAAGCTAAATTGAAACATTGGGAACGCTGAAAATTCTTCCTTCTCCTCTTAGATTGCCCTTGCATTGACGACTTTGTCGCGACCCATTTTTAAACCTTCCGCGACCCATGTTTGGGTCGCGACCCATACTTTAAGAACCACTGTTATGTGGGTTGACTCTGGTTCATGCTTTGTCCATCTATATTTAATTTAAACTGGTTTGTTATTGAGAAAAAGTTTGATTATAGAAGCCATTTGTGCAGTAAAATCATAACTTAGCCATATATAGATCATGCTTGTTGTTTAAATTCAAGTTGTTCATGGAATTTAGCTCTTCTATGTTTAGTTTAGAATTTGATTCAATGGTGCAGTAAAATCACGACAAGCTAAATATTTAGCGGGCTTCCTTATAATTTCTGATTTCAGTGTTTAATTAAGTTGTTGGGTTGTCAAGTTGATTTAATCTATTAGAAACACCAAGTATTTTGTTAGAAAATTTTTAACTTCTGCTAAACCTTCATAGATATTCTGATATTTATATCAGTTTAACAAACCCCCAGGTATGAGAGATGATTAGTTTTGTTTGTTTCTTCAGGGGGTTTCATATGAAGCTCAAAGGTTCACTGAATATTTGCCATATACTGGGGATGGAGGGATATGTCTCAACTTACTCAGACAAACATTCGATGCAGGATTGATTTTCAAGATTCAGGAAGTTGGTGACAGAAGAGGAAAAATTGTTTGGACCGATGAGTTTCCTCATAAGACTAATAAAACTGGAGGACCAGGAAAGTAAGTACTTTGTGTTCTTTATATTTGGTGGTTACTTACTTCATAAAATGTTAAGAAATAGGAAGGAATAACACAAATTCAAAATCTTGTTATGTATTGCACTACGAGGCAGTTCAAAATTCCTTTAAAATCCTTATTTTGATACTTAAATTGTCATTTAGGGGAAATAATAAAAAATGGGATTCACAAACCCTCGTATATCAGTTATTGCTTATAATGACCTTGGGATTTATTTTCAAAGCATGAAGACATATTGGATAAAATATTTTTCCTAAAAATTATTCAAATTCATTTATTTGGATTTTACCAACCTTGCTCAAAAGAAAACTAAGCTCATTTTTATATGAAAACGATTTATTTAATTCAGAGTGACTTAATGTTTTTTAACTGCCAGGGTCTGGTCTAAATTTCCGGACATATCCACGTAACCATGATGACCACAACTCGTATTTATTAAATAGATAAGAAATCTAAATTATGATTCTAAAATGTTGTATTTTGGGCATCTGCACTATGGTTGTGGTTCTCAGTACCAATGGTTTTCTTATAATTCATTCTGAACAAAACCCAAGAAAGGTTGAACTTTGACATTTATTTGGAAGTCAGAGTCATAATTTGTTCCTGTTAAGAAGTTGCAATTTCAGACTTTTTAACAGAAACTAAATTGGTCGCTTATGATAAATTTAAATGTTGGTGCTCTTGGAGTATTCATACCAAAATGGTGCACGACCTGACATAGTATTGTGTACCAGGTTAGTTTTCAGGTTGTGCGTCATCTTGGTACGAATACTTCCGGAGCGCCTAAATGTTTGTCAAATAAGAGTTTTTTCTTCAAATCTCTAGGTGCAAGTTCTGTACTGCAATACTCTGAAGTCAGGATCCATCATTTACCAAACTTCCATTCTTTTTCTATGTACATGTTCAATGAGAGTTTATAAATTCATTTTTTCAGCAATGGATATCCAGATCAAAACCATATAAGTAAACTCCGAGAAGCATTGGAGGCGAAAGGATTCAAGTATGATAGACGGGTGAGATAGTTTTATTCATTTAACACTCTGGCAAAATATTGCTTTCCCACTTTCCCCAACATGCATCCTTATGAATAGTCTTAAATTCCTGAAATAACAAGTTAGATAATCATCACTTGAAATTGAATTGAGTAAAGAACTTGCATTGGTATCAAAGGTAGATAAAGGGTTGCTTGTTCACATAAAATTTTCTCAGATTCTAATAATTCGATTTGAAAAGCCCAGCCCTAAATACATCATAGAGTGCTCTACTGTCACATATGATGTCACAATAACATGGTTTTGAAGCTTTAAAAATGCAAATTCAAGAAGCGCAATCTTCCAATGAGACACTCTATCTGCTGGGCAGTTTTTATTGACAATATAGGTTCAAGGTCCACTTTTACATCCACCCAGTTCTTTTGATTTCCTGTTAGTTTCCTTGACAATTCACTATTGAAGTGATGAAAAAACAGTGTGTAGGATATGGTGATTTGAATAATATAGGAATAAATGTTTTTTTATTCCACGTTTTCATGTTTTTACCTTCACAAGGCTCTGTGCAAGCATCCAATGATATGTAAATGACTAATATTTTTCATAGATACTGTAATTTTACCAGTGAAAAAAATTAGCTCTGTAGCTTGTAGGAAATATCAAGCTTGGATAGATAAATAAATATAACAAAAACATGACTTCAACAGATTATGTCTGAATAAGCTGCCGTATTATAGTCAGTGATAGATTAATAAATTCTAGTTTTATCTTATTGCCTCTTATCAAAATTATATTTTCACTTTTCCTTCCAGTAAAAATTTCTTCCACTTCTCAGATTCCCTCCATGGGTTCCGAAGTTGACGAGATCCAGAAAGATTTCCTACAACACTGATTGTACTGTTCCCTGCATAGGATACTGAACTTGCTTCATTAAATCTACATCAAATGCCAAAACAATATTACCATTGCAGCCATTGTGCAAATTATGTTCTTGATCAAATATTACAAATAACAAAGTTTCATATTAAGAATTGTATTTGTGCCATTTGTGTAAGGCAAATTGACAAATAAGTAAAATGCCCTAGGCGGCTGAAGCTTAGACTTAACTGCGCTGGCATCGTTGATTACACATTGCAGGTTTAAATTCCACCCCTCACCTCTCCCATGGTCTATTAGATTGAGTAGGCAAAAAGAAAAGATTTTGAAACTTTCAAATAAATAGTTGCTCCTCACATATTGTTAGATATCAGTGACTGCTATCATATAGTTTAATATTTTTGAGGCATTTTTTTTATAATTCTCTAAATATTCCTGTTTTTTCCACAGTCTACAACACTCTGGGTGAGGTAGCGGGCATATGATTGAACTTGGGTTATTTAATCAGACATGCCAACATAGTCGAGTCCAAACACAACGCTAATAGGATGATTGTATTGCCAATATATTTAATTTGGTGGAATCAATCAGCAAAACGCTATGTATTCGCATTAATTCTTTATTAATTATAATATGTTAAATAAACTGGCATTTTCAAGTTAGTCAAGATATCTGAAAAGTGTTTTGACAATTTGTGACAGGTTATACCCGAATGCCCATTGGTTCGTACTTTAACAAAAATTAATTAATCAAGTATGGTTTGATTTAAAAAATGTCCAACCCAAACCTGTGTTATTGAGCTCATGAATTACGCTGAATAGATTATCTGTATAAATATT